TAGTCACGTTTCCCAGGCTTGCTCGATTTATCACGACCCTTTCACATGGACCCCTTAAAGTTGTAAGCCTTTAAAAAGGCCAAGTATTTCTTTCTTGGGGAGCTCGGCTCTTAAGACGCGAGTCTGCCGATGCTCCCGGCGAATAAAAAACCTCTTCCTAAGGCCGGGCGCGGTGGCTCACGCCTGTAATCCCAGCACTTTGGGAGGCCAAGACGGGCGGATCACGAGGTCAGGAGATCGAGACCATCCTGGCGAACACGGTGAAACCTTGTCTCTACTAAAAATACAAAAATTAGCTGGGCATGGTAGTACACGCCTGTAATACCAGATACTTTGGAGGCTGAGGCAGGAGAATCACTTTAACCTGGGAGGCGGAGGTTGCAGTGAGCCGAGATTGCACCACTGCACTGCAGCCTGGGTGACAGAGCGAGACTCTATCTCTAAATTAATACATAAATAAGACTGGGTGCGGTGGCTCACGCCTGTAATCCCAGCACTTTGGGAGGCCGGGAGGCCAAGAGGCCAAGGCAGTCGGATCATGAGGTCAGGAGTTCGAGACCAGCCTGGCCAAGAGACCAGCCTGGCCAATATGGTGAAACCCCGTCTCTAATAAAAATACAAAAATTAGCTGGGCATGGTGGCGGGCGCCTGTAATCTCAGCTACTCAGGAGGCTGAGGCAAGAGAATTGCTTGAACCCGGGAGGTGGAGGTTGCAGTGAGCTGAAGATAGCGCCATTGCACTCCAGCCTGGGTGACAGAGCGAGACTCCGACTCAAATAAATAAATAAATAAATAAATAAATAAAATCCAACCCCAGCAAGCTATTCATTCAAGGTTCCCTCAGTGGGGTGTATCTGGCAAGAAAATTCCTTCAAGTATGCTGATAAATTTGGCTCTTTGAATGATGCTTCCTTGGGCTAGGAAATCCAGCATTAGGCAAACTGCCATACCAAGTTGCCCAACTTGGTGAAACCCTGTCTCTACTAAAAATACAAAAATTAGCCAGGTGTGGTGGCGGGCGCCTGTAATCTCAGCTACTGGGGAGGCTGAGGCAGGACAATTGCTTGAACCCAGGAGGTGGAGGTTGTGGCAAGCTGAGATCACGCCATTGCACTCCAGCCTGGGCAATAAGGGCGAGACTCCATCTCAAAAAAAAAAAAAAAAAGCAGCTCCATTAGGAAGACTAAAATGATGGTGTGCTAACTTGAACAGTTAGGTTGTACAAGAAAGGACTTGAAAGTTCCTTTTCTGATGTCCTTCAAGACATGGGTTCCATTTATATGCACCTTGTTCTTTCCTCAGACCTGTAACTTCAGCCTGGAATTGAGCAAAAACATGGCTTCCTTGTCCTCAAGTCATTCTTGGGCTTCAGAGAGAAGGTGCTGGACCTTTATTTTATTTTATTTTATTTTATTTTATTTTATTTTATTTTATTTTATTTTTTGAGACGGAGTCTCGCTCTGTCGCCCAGGCTGGAGTGCAGTGGCCGGATCTCAGCTCACTGCAAGCTCCGCCCCCGGGTTTACGCCATGTCTCCTGCCTCAGCCTTCCCAACGTAGCTGGGGACTACAGGTGCCCGCACCTCGCCCGGCTGGTTTTTTGTATTTTTTAGTAGGAGACGGAGGTGCTGGGAGCCTTTAAAGTCAAGCAAGCAGGGTTAACTGGTATCTTTGCCCTGAGAATTACGCTGGTGGGTGGGCTTGTGGGGCTGCCAGCATTACCCCAAGATAACTTGTGCTTATGAATATCTCGCTTTGTATTATTTTTGCACTGGTCTAGTCATATTGACTTTGGAAATGAAACAGACTCATTCTAGTTTATTAGCATTCGTTGGTTTAGTAGTTGGCATTCCATTGACAAAAAAAGTAATTCTTGATGCTGAAATGTTGTCAAATCTAGAAAATGTAGGCATTCCTATGCATTTTTGTAAACACTGTTCTCCAGACAGTTGTTAGCTGTGAGAAGATTCAGTCTGAGAAGCTCAGATTTTTTCCAAAAAGAGATTCTGATGTTTACGTTCTGTTTAGAAAAACTCCAATTATCAGGTTTTTATATGATTAGTTTCACATTGGAAAAATCAGTCAGGATTTGCTTCAACCTCAAAAGACGTGTGTTTTATGTAAAAATAAATGAGCACTGGGCAGCCTCGCGCCTCCCCGATGTTCAAGCAAATTCTCCTGGCCTCAGCCTCCCCAGTAGCTGAAATTACAGGCGTCGCCAGCCCGGCCTGGCTAATTTTTGTAGTTTTTAGCAGGAGAATGAGGTTTCACCGTGTTTGGCCAGGCTGGTCTTGAACCCCTGACCCTCAGGATGATCCCACCTGCCTCGAGGCCTCCCAAATGCTGAGGATTATAGGCGTGAGCGCACGGCACCCGGCC